AAGTCTCTATTTATAATTTTTTAATTTGTATTTCGATTATTAATTTATATAAAAAATTATAAAATAAATTTATTTGATTCATATCAATGTTTTACAAGTGAAAATGATGTGTAAATGGTATGAATGTTAGTATTTTATTTACACAATACTTTATTGCATCATAATAATAATGGCATTTTTTTTGAGTTATTAAATAAATCCAAAAGATTTAGCATCAAACCTTATGAGACACTTGATAGATGCATCCAATGTCTTAATAATAGTCACGATTCAAATCATAACACAATTTCCCATCATCCAATCCAAATGGTAACTATTAAAAAAAAAATCCAAAAGGTTAAAAAAATTCTGTAATCAAATTAGGGCTTACATTTAAATTTGGACTTTGGAGAACCCGTTCCAAAACTGAACTTCATAAATTTTACTAACCAAGTTGGCCCAAATAATGAATTCAGAATCCTGAGCCCAAACAAATTCCACAACCAGAGCCAATCGAGAAACCCCTAGAACCGGCCAGCCGCCATTCTCCATCCGTCCTCTACAAACACAGCCGAAAATCCCAAGCTTCATCCTTGGTTCAAAGAAATCGAGAATCGGAAGGGCTTCACTCCCACTTCAATTTTCAGGTAATTTTTCTGCAAAATGTCATGTCCTTTCGATTTCTAATCTTGTTTAGATTTGTGCCTAATTTATAATGAATTCGAGTGTAGATTGAATGGTAATCTTGATAATTGTGGTGGGTAGGGAATTTGAAGTTATAATTTTGAGTGAGTTTGTTTAATTTATACTGGGATTCTGGTACCAGTTTTGCAGCTATGAAGGAAGAAGAGATAAACCGATGCCAAATTCAAGAATGGTATCCGAAGTTCAAATCAGTGTCAATTAGAACTCTAATTCATGAGCTTCCTGAATCTTTTGTTCAGTACCTGTTTGATGATTCTGGAATCATCCTTCCGGAGTCTGTCTTTAATGAAGATGCCTTCCCTAACAGAATCCATAATCTTGAGGAGGAAGAGGATTATCAGGTGTCAGAAGGATCTGGGGATGAAGCAGAACCTTCGGAACCTCCTTCCTTCCCAGAACTTGAGATGGAGATTAAAGAATCAATTGAAAGGCTTGGGGGTGCAGTATTCCCCAAGTTAAATTGGAGTGCACCAAAAGACTCTGCTTGGATTGCCCCATCTGGGACTCTGCGTTGCACTTCATTCAGTGAGATTGCACTCTTGCTTCGATCATCAGACTCGTTGGTTAATGATTTGTGTCATGCGTATGATTCTTGCAGTGATAAAACCCTGTCAAGACCTCCAAGTTTCTTCCTTGCCCTACGAAAGTGGTATCCATCTCTACTACCAGAGATGGAATTTCGTTGTTTTGTAAAGGACCAGCTCCTGATTGCGATTTCCCAACGTGAAGTAACTACATTTTATCCTGTTCTACTTGAGAAGAAAAATGATCTCAAGACATTAATTGAACAGTTCTTTGCCGATAATGTGAAGTTGAAATTTGAGTCAGAAAATTACACATTGGATGTTTATGTTACACGGGATGGACGTGTTAAGATTTTGGATTTCAACCCCTGGAGAGCATTTACCCTGCCCCTGCTCTTTTCATGGGAGGAACTAGAGCATAATCTCCAGGACGAAGATCATTTGGACTTCAGAATTGTGGAGAGTCGGTGTGGTGTTAGGCCAGGTTTGAAGACAGCAGTTCCATATGATTATGTGGATACCAGCCCCGGAAGTGGCTGGGACCAATTCCTGAGAAATGCTGATGAAGAATCAAGAAGACAGGCTGACTCCTGATACAGTCCTTGACGATTTTAATTTTTTTGCTTTCAACATTTATTTTTGTTGTTTAATTCTTATCAGTATGTTGTTGTAGATACTCAGTTTATCTCTTAATTTCCATGTTAGATGCTTGATTTATTGGCCGCTTAGGAAAAACTTGCTTATTTCAATCGCAAAAGTTTGTCTTGGTTTTTGCTCAAAGCATTGTTCCTTCTTGATCAGCCATATTAGATGTAATACTCAAGGCTTCCCTTGTGTGCAGTTGCTGCTGCCTATAATGGAACATAGTGAACCTTTTCCTTTCACGTGTCTGATTCTCTTGTCATGATAGAGCCGGAAGTCTGGTGAAAGCAATCTTTTTCATTATTTTCCTGGAATTTGAATTGGAATGTTCAAGTATTATGAGTTAATTGATGGATTATAATTTGTGGGGTGACAGTGTGACACTGATTTTGTTCTGTAAAATTAAGTTTTGGTTAAATTTGTGAGTTGCTTCAAATTGACAGACTGTTGTAACAAAGAAATTGCTCCTGATTGACCCTTTGTTGTTGGAACAAAAAGCTAGAATGAGTATCTTCTTGGTACTTATTTCGTTGCTGTCTCTCTTGAAGCTAACGGCATGCAAAATCAACATTAATTTGTGGAAGAGGGGTGTCTTATCGCATGTGTTATTGTTGGTGCACTAAAATGAAATTCTTGGACACTTGTTGGACATGAATTCTAAAGTTAAAATACAATATCGTTAGCATGTGGAGACAGACATTGCACCACTTGAGGACAATGCAGAAGTGAAGGACAGAGGAGTCATGTAGCCTCCTCAGATGTTGTTAGCATGTGGTGCCAGACCAATCCCTGGGATGCAAGGTTTTCCACCTATGATTAGGGGGGTTTCTTAAGGACCAGTAACACCTGATGTTAATGGGATGCCATATCTTTTTGGGGCTCCATGTGCTTTTACTACTCATGGTCCGATGTTTTCTAGCGATTTTACATCTGGCATGATGTTTCCAGGGTGACCTCCCTGACGTGGTGCCATGTTCCCAGCTCTTGGTGGACTTGAGATGATGATTAGGTCCAGGACGTGACCCATTTGTGGGATGGGACCTATGGTGCATATCCAGCTTGTGGTGATTGGCCTTTTGGCCCCATATGTTTCAACCACCATCACCATCTTCACAGAACTCCGGTCGCACTGTTAAGAGAGATCAGAGAACACCAACTAGTGATAGATATATAGTGCAGGATCAGACCAAGGTAAGGAAACAACTACTTGTGGTGGTAGAATGGATGATGACTAGATCCATGGGTTGGTAATTTCTATTTTCTTTTTTTTTTTAAAGGAATTAATCCAAATATTTCAACAATTCAACAAAATAGTAGTCTTGCCCTTTCTAATTCTGTTCTTCTCTTAGATTCACTTCTGCTCTTAATCAACTTCGGACAACTTTAACAACGGTGAACCTAAATTGAGCTCCATAATTCCATTCCATCACTGATTAAACATGAAGATAAAGTAAGGAAAATGAAAAGTAACTCAAAGTCAAACGACAAGTTGACAACATATATATGCCAAACTAAGGAAGATGTGGCATGCTCATGGATTTCTTTCTCTTCAATCAAGAAAAGAAAGATGAATGTCACTGCCATCAAATTCAAACCCTCCATCTTTCTGAAAACAAATAAAAGAAAATGAGAATTTAGCCAAGACCCAAAAGAGGAAGCACATATTCCACAAAACCACAAAGCAAAGGTCCATAATAGTGAAGGAAACTTGTTCTTAATCGAAGGGCAGGAACCATGACCTGTTTTTAACTAGCTAGGCCAACCAACAACACGGAACTCGATGATTTAACAATTAAAATTTCATCACCAGGACCCAAAAAATACCATCGCACAATAATATGCATGGATGAAACTCAAGAATATGTTCCCACCTAAAAATGACAGAAAAGAGCAGTACTGGTGTGCATAAGACCAAAAAGAACAGGAAAAAGGCAAAAAATAAGCCCTGGATTTGTACTTATCGTATAATATAACAGCGTTTATAAATAATTAACAGCCACTAAGACAGACATGTATCACTTTGAAAAAAAAAAATGTCAGAATGAATATAATCAAAGCCAATTAAGCCAAACATCGTCAACAACTTAATAGAATTATCATTATTATGGTACCAGAAGGTAGAAAGCTTAAACTTTATCATCCCTCTCTTCGTAACCCCAAAAAAGAGATGGAGTTGCATTAGATACTCGAATTAACGCAAAATCTATAGAAAACATCTAGAGATGGCCTGTTGACATTTTACTTGAAAATTCATGCAGTTCTGGTTAGCACGGACATGAGTCTACAATCAATGGAAGTTGTGAACAAACACAACAGCTGAACTTCCAAAAGAATTTGTCCGTATGCATATAACCAATTGTATTTCATCCTGTGCTGTTGAGAACATCAGGGTACTGTTCTTTAAAATGCTTTGATTTCTTGTTGTATGTGATCAAGAGGAAACCCAAAAGCTAGGCAGTGGGAAATGCAATGATACTTGTTTTTTGGTAATGGACTGTTTGGCCTAAAAGAATCTTATTTGAGGTGCATCTGACTCAATAAAATATCTGAAAAGAAAGTCTGTCTTCTTCTTAAGGTCCTCTATTTTATTGAATCTCTCAAAGCTCAATACCCCTTGAATCTCTCAGAGTGACATTTCGCTTCCACTTTCCTTGACCAAACTTTTCTAGGGGGAACACTTTTCTGTGAAAAAGCCACGACGAGAAGCTTTGCCAGACTAGTAACTTTCTCTCATATTTGGTTAAATTTAGCCATAATGACTAAACAACATTTTTTTTTTTTTTTTTTTTTTTTTTTTACTAAGTTGGACAGACATTCCCAACCACCTTAATTTGACAAACCTTTTTAGGGAAAAATTATCAAAACTTTCCTATAAACAATCACTACTACTTTGGCAAAAGAGTTGAAATTGAGTACATAAGAACATGCACAAATATCCGTCAACCAAAGCCTTGCTGAAACCAAATATCCTCAGTGACTTTGGCCTCCCTTTTCTTGGTGAATGGTCACTTTGGCATCTGCGCAGCAGAACCCTTTGGAGACGTTTTGCAACCTCCATGGCTACCACAGCCTTCGACATGTCCTTTCTGTTTACATCTTCATTTTGCATTTTTAAATGTACCTCTGTACTAAGAATTCCAGCACACCAGCTAAAAGTTTACTGTAGATTTAGAGAATGATTGATGTAATTTTATCTTTATTAGAAGTTTTGTTAGAGTTTTTTTTTTTTTTTGAATTAACTAAATCCAAATACTAAGAATTAAAGACAAATTATTAGATCTGAAAATCTGATTTAAAAGTTTTGTTAGAATATTAAGCCATAAATTTATATAAAATTTGATAAAAAAATAATTATATAAACTTAAAATAAGTGATAAAAATTATCACATTAGACAACTTAATAACAAAAGATTTATTTCAATTAATAGGTTTGAAACTTCAACTATCCCTTTGAATCTTTTAAAATAAGATCAAAAGAACAAAATATTTTTCAAAAACCAACATTTAGGAAAGTTTTTAACCAATCCCATATGTGCTTATAAGTACAACAGTCTTCATACCATGAATTGACATCAATATTTGTCGATTCATGAATGACTCGAAACAGCACGACATATTATTCAAAGCATTATTCTTTAAAAACGTTGTAGAAATGCCTCATCCGAGTTTTTGCTGTTTAGACATGGTGATCCAACCTTGAATTAATTATACCCTCCGCTTAACACTGCTTTGTATTAATATTTTTTACATTAAATAGAAATTCATTATTTTTAATTAATTTTTATATATCTTTAAAGTAATAAAAAATTAAAAATATCTGCACAACAACACAGTTTAAGGTTTAATTTCAGAGTAATGACACATAAATTGTATCTGTTAGTAATATTTATTTTAATTAATATTTTATATTTTTTTAAAATAATAAAAATATAAAAATTAAAATACTAAAAATGGTATTACCGAATGAAGCCTAACGCTGACAAAAAGTTATATTTGTAAATGCAATCACACTGCAGGCCCCAAGTGATCAGGCCGGGCCATCACATCTCCCCAACTCTATATTTTTTCTTTATCTCCATGCTAAATTCATCATGCAAGCATCGCCATCGCCACCAGGGAGAAACAACAATCATTAGTCATAACTTGGCTTGTACCACGTTAGTTTTCGGTTTACAACTCCAAATTGCGGCTAAAATTTTTGGGAAATCCTCTACCTTACCGATTATAAAACTTTCAGCCCCTCTGCAACAGGAAGTTTTTTAATCCGGCACTTTTTTGACTTTTAGGAAACAAACAGAATATTAATTGTACAAGCTGATTCAGCCATCTTTTTCATTAGATAATACCCATACCCTTACATGAAATGTTATAATGAAATAAATTACATTTTTTTATATAAATATAAGATAAAAGTATACATCAATGTACCAGTAAAAAATAAATAAATTATATTTTAAAATTATATTTTTTAATAAATATTCATTAAAAAAATTATAATATCTTAATTTTTAAAATAAAAATAAAATTATTTGTCTTTTTTGTGATACTTATTAAAAAAACATAATTTTAAATAATATTTTACTTAATTTTTTTTTTTTTTATAAATTTAGTGGAGAAACACTAATATCTAAATATAAAATATTATTTGCTCTTAAAAATTAACTATAAAAAATAAAGTGAAAATAAAAAGCAAATGCCAAATTCATTATGCATTTCTCTAACACATATCAAAAGCTCTAATACTACTACGTATGTTCTCCGCTGCATTCTTCAACATCCTTTGCATCTTCTTCATATCAACTTAGTTTGCCGTGTAGCCGGAGTTCCCTCCCTTGATTTGAGGCACTATTACTATCAATTTTTGGTGGAGTAGATTTTATTGACCGAGGCTTTCTACTGCCATGTGAGACGGGATCATTATCCCCAGGGGGTCTAACTTTCCATTACCTTCCGAGAAGTATATATAGAGCTGAACATGGAAACCTTATTAAATTTTGCATGTTTGCGTTGTTGCTCAATGTGAAAGGAAGAATTCCCAACTAAACAGAGTAATTGATCAAGGCTGAAAGGCTTGCTGATGGTAAAGCAAGATGTGAATGAGAGGAGGATTTATGACAGCTTGCAAATGCGATATACAGACTGAGGAAACTCGACGAGGGGGTAAAGAACTCTAGTGGTGTAGGTTCTCATGGAAAGTTGAAGATTCGGTGGCTGGCAATGGACCCAATATAACGAACGTTGATCATTTAACTTGTATTTTGCAATCCAGTTTGCAACCCCATTAGCTTGTCTAGATATATATACAAAAAATTGTAAGCCTTGAGGTTAACCACAAGTTGCCAAATTTATTTAA